TCCAGTTTATTGTTTATCTAATGGGCTTCCACGACAAGTTTTTATTTTAGAAGCATAAATAATAAGTGGTCAAATAGCTTTGGTTTAATTTAGAACAGTCCCTCCCCCCAACCCCCAACACCAAAAAAAAAAAAAATTTAAAACCAAAATTGTGATTCCGCATACTTGCTAGGAGACATATATATATATATACTAAATTAAATTATAAAATCAAGTTTATTTTATTTGGCCGGTTTAAATAACTATTCGTATACCTAGGTAAATATATATTTTAGATTTCCTTTTCATTATTATGATGATATTATCATCGTTTATGGTTAATTAAATATTTAAATTGTTCGTTTTATACCATTTCCTTATACGAATGATTTATAATTAATTCTTCCAATTTCTTTGAGTTCATTAACTTTTAAATTATTTTGCTTATAATTATTTATGATTTTATATCCCCGGTCTAGACTTTCCAATTTCCTTCTCAACTCGGGTTAGGCTCGTTTTTTGAATTTTCTTAAATTTTTTATAAGCATGATATCCTCTCTAGATACACGACTTACTATAGATTAAGACACTATTATTATTTATATGGTAATTAGTTATAACTTTTAAAATACAATATTATTTTCTATTACATAGTARGTACAGTAAAATCCCATCTAAATATCGAAAACTTCAGTCACTTAAATTTCGTTCTCTATTCTGCACATGATTAAATTTGTAGAAAATGTGTATAGATTTTTCCAAAAAAAATATCTGTTGAAAAAGTCTTTACTGTAGACACTGTACTCTAGGTGACATAATGATCATACATCCCGTTTACAATGGGATTGTAGTCCTTATTTTTTTAGCATCATCATATCCCTTTGTGCCAACGATCTTTGAAATGCTTCTTGTACTGTCATCTTTATATTACTATTATTCTCATAGATATATGCGTAAACCTAACTTAAGTGCACGAAAAAAAAAACAGTATTTATACTGTTCTGTATTGAGCTATTATTGGAACCAAAGTTAATGGATTGCTATAATAATACCATAATAATAAAGGTAAACATTAA